TGTGTRTAYAYAYACACACACACACACACACACACACATTTTCTTAGCACAAAGCACAAACCCAGTCCCTTTCCTAATATGGAAATACAACTAAGATTAGTACTTTAGTGCAAGGGAATTTTAATGAAGGGAGGAGCATGGGACAGGTCAGTGTACTCTCAGCAGAAAGTTCTGGAAATCACAGTCTGTGAATTTAAGGACAAGACCAGCATCAGAACAAAACCAGAGATAGGACAGGAATATTAAAAACAGCAACTCATGGTGCTATGGTGGAGCAGAACATTCTCTTGATTTGGCTGAAACCTGCCTTATTCTCACATCCATTTTCCCAGATACCCAGCCTTGTCCCCATGCCAGCTTTCATGTCATACATACCACCTGCTTCTTAGCGTGCCAGCAAAGACCCTTGGGAACAGCTGGGGAAGCCACCCTGGGCCCACTACAGGGCCTGACTCCTGCTCCTCTGATAGGAATCTCTGTAAGCACAGAAGTGACCCAGACAGGTGCCCACCTCATGAATCCAGCAAAGCCTTTATTCAGCAGTGAAGTCAGGCAGCGGAGGGCTCACTTTCTGGGTGGAAAATGGTACTGATTACRGGGGAGGTATGGGTCTATATAGGTTACATTGGGGGGTGTCTCAATTCTTGAAGTCTGTGATAGGACATGGACAAAAGGTTGCAAATATTTGGAACTTGTTTCCTTCTGGGCACAGTTTTTAATTAAGCAKTATTTTTACAGGACAGGGATAGAGGGTTCCGAGTTCAGAGTCCAGTGCTCATCTGAYCTCCAGGGGTCATTGTATTGCCATGGGAACAAGTTCAATGTGTAGTTTTACTGTCATATCACTGAGAAGTGATTTATGGAAAAGATCAAAGCTTTGGCTTCTCTCTCCCTCCCTCCWCCCAGGTCACACTCTGTGTTGGGGGTTTATCAATTTCATTATCCTTCAATCTCACCCTAGGAAGTACATCACCTACCTCCCTAGCTGAAGCTGCATGATGACCATTAACTCAACAGCCTTGTGCCTTGCAAAATGTTAGGTCAGCAGCCAAAAATCAGGAACCTCTCCAGTACTTGGGGCAAAGTGTCCTTATGGACCAGAGGGCTTATTTAGGATKGGGGTAGGGAGATATAGAAGGACTTAGGCAGCAAGGGCAAGATGGTGAGTGAGGAAGTTAGGGACAGGGCCAGAACAAAGGAGCATGGAGAGAGTCTTCTAATGAGGTCAACATCCTGTTGACAAAAGTGCTCACAGGCTGGGCAGGCCTGTAATCCCAGCAACTCAGGAGGCTAAGGCAGGAGGATTTTGAGTTCAAAGCCAATCTCAGCAAAAGCAAGGTGCTAAGCACCTTCAAGGGGCTAAAGTGGGACCCTGTCTCTAAATAAAATAGGGCTGGGGATGTGGCTCAGGGGTTGAGAGCCCCTGAGTTCARTCCCCAGTACCAAGAAAAAAATAAGAGCTCGCAGACACAAGCAGGGGACTCAAACAGACAGACATTTCTTGTGCTCTAAGTGGGGATCCAATAGAAAAACTGAAACAGATGTGTGGATGGATGGGTACCTATCAACACAGTGAGGAGAGCATGGACAGGGGAGGAGATAAGGGAAGGAAGAAATTCCAGAGACCATAAAAAGAACAAGCCAAAACTCCTCCACCAGATTCCCGGCTCTGGGGCCCCTTCTCTTTGGAGAAGTCTGTCTCTGTCACTTTTGCAATAAACCTGCTGCTTGCCTGTATCTCTGTGTCCTGTTCTTCAATTCTTTGCTGAATGGAGACAAAGAACCCAGCACCCCTAGGTGGTAACAGGAGTGTGGATGGAGGACAAGGAAGGAAATAGAAAGGAGGAARAAGGGAGAGAGACGTAGATAGGCGGGACAAGTAATCCATACCCGGGCAGAGAAGAAGAAGTGCTCTATAGTGGAAGCCGAAGAGTTCCCAGCTCTGGCATATTTCCTGTAGCTGAGCTCCAGGGAAGTAAATCCCTAAATCTTCTCTGGTATTAAAAGGGAGGAGAGGGTAGTGGAATGCCCAGAATGAAGAGATCGGGGTCCAGGCCCAGAGAGCCCTCACATGGGCTGAAGGACCTTGAGCATTCTTTCCACCCACTGCCAGACTTAAGATACAAAAGTCTGGACTTATTAACACCGGCAATGTGAGAAATGTTAGAGAAGGGCTTTTGCTTGCTTAGGAAGATTCGTCTTCTTAGGTGTCGTAGGGTTTTTAACCACTGCTTTCCTCCTTCTCCAGGAGACCAGGGCGTCCTAAGATTCACCCTGCTCAGAGGTGTGGAGTGGTTTGGGCCTCAACAGCGGGGGGATGCAAGTTCAATCCAAAATTGTGAGTTGGAAATCCACTCTTCTCAAGAGTCCACTACTACTCAATTAGAGGTTGGTTAAGGCCAGCTTGGCCTGCCCACTTACTGACTAGGAGGAGACTGAGACCCCACAATAGGAAGTGACTTGCTCAAGGTCACCCAGCTTGTGAGTGGCAGAGATGGGGTGAAAAGTAATTCTTCCTGGCCTACTTTGAGGGCTCCATACACAGCTATTATCTGAATAATTGTGTCGTCTTGATTCTTCTTTACCCCCTTGAAGCAGCTGCCTTGAGCTTCTCTCTGTCTCTGCTAACTCTTCTGCCCCATTCAGGTGTGAAAGGCAAGCCTTAAGAGACCACCCACAGCTACTTCCCCTTCACACCGAGACCTCCTGCTGGCTTGGGCAGTGCCTCCATCCTATATGTCCTCCCTGTAGCAAACCCCAGGGTCCTTGCCTTCTGTGTTGGGGTGGGGGGCATATCATATTTCCCCCAGCTTTATTGACAAGGAGTCAACCCCACTCTGAAGCAGTAGACCTACTTATTTTCCATATGGCCTCTCCCAATAAACCTTTCCTTCCTATACCAATTATCAGCTTTTAATCGGAGAAGAAGGTGGGGATACTGATTTTCTCCTTCTCATGGTCGTGAAATGCCAGCTGGAATGAGCTGCATTGTGTATGTTCTGTTGTAGCTGAATGGGGGAGGCCACTGTGGAACACTGCCATGATCCCTGAGTCCAAACAGCCCTAAGATCTGGTGAGTCTAGAGTTGATCTGGCTTAACCTCCTTATTTTACCTCCCTGGGTCTATGTAGCAGGGACAAAAAATAATACCGCATGCAAACCAGGTCTCTCAAACATCTCTGGAACTTTCCCAACACCTTCCCTGGAGGGTTTCCTGGAAGCTCTCCTGGATCCTCCCTAGACTACAATTCCCTAAGTGGTAGAGTTTGAGACATGAGTTCTGATCAAGTTTTTCTTTGTTTTTGTCTAGCATCATCTGGAAACCTTTCCCAACCGAGAGCTGTACCATCTTCCTTGCAGCTGGGTCCTTTCCTGGGGTAGGCATGAGCTGGAAATCCTCAGTTCTGAGGGGCTCTGTCCAAGATTACAATGGGAGAGACCTAGCTCCACATTCTGACAGTTCAGCATGTAGAACYAGGCTGACCTTACTCTTTCTGGGGTGATGGCACCTGGGGCAAGGGCAGCTAGGCAGGGATTTCTCTGTGAGGGATCCTTGCTCATCTTGAACTAGGACAGGCACTTTTAGGAATATGGAGTCCCTGCCGCACTTTTCAACAGAACACGCTATGGTTGGAGACAAAGAGTGTTCCAGATGATCTCGTAWTACCAGCTTTCCACTTGGTCTAGCTCTTTAGGGTATGATGTGTAAGGTAGGAAAGAAAGCAGAGATGTGCTCTTGACAGGACATCAGCAATAAGAACAGAAAGGATTTGAGCCGATCAAAATCAAATTCAGTCCAACTCACTTCTGCATAAGCATCAAAGTGAAACTGGTGCTGAATGAGGGCTCTGGGAGGACGTCCAGGGGGTCATGGGAACCACAGCTGAAGAGTGCCAAAGAGTTGCTTGAAGTTCAAGGTTATAGATGGCAGCCTCYGAGGATGGCAGGTCTGTTTTCTTGCCATCCATTCCACCTTGTCCGACCAGCTTCCAAGCTCCAGTAAGGACTTGGAGCTTCCTGAGTGTCATTGGCCAGTGGTGGTACCTGGGAATCATCCGGGTAACTTTGAATCTCTTTACACTGGGAAAGAAATGCATATGGCTTCAGAGGTTAAAAACTGTGGGAAGGTGAGAATGAGCATTCAGGAAGCCCTGTCCCCAAGGCAAGGAGTTCTAGGTCTGGCCATAGCTATTTCTTAAAAAAAAAAAAAAAAAAAAAAATGACAACAGTGAACTAGAAAACAGAGCAATTCCAGTTGCCTTGTTGCCCTGGTGATAACAGGCTATTCTTTTCTCTCCTTTTAGACAAAAATTGCTCCAACCCAAAAAGAAGAAGTAATCAAGTCAGGCTCCACTGAGGCAAATCATCTCTCAGATGCCTCCCAATGCTGTCAGAACCATTTCTGGTCAGAAATGAAATGCCCTGATGCCATCTGCCCCTAGAAAAATCAAGAAGGGACTATAGAACAACAGCTCAGACATGGCAGGAGAAGACCGTAGTGGGTAAGATGTGGGCAGAGAGCATAAGAGAATGTTCCTGACCTCCCTGAGCCTGGGAGTCCTGTTGGAGATGGTCTTCCCCCAGTGAGCTGGGTCCCTGGGCTCTGAGGCTCACTCTGCAGCTGTGTGGCCCTGTGCAAACTCTGGTTCAGGGTTGTTGAAGAATCCCGTGACATATGGATGGAAGTGTCATTGAACACTGTGGGAAGCAAGGTACTGTTATTCTCAGTGGTAATACAGCAGGGTCTTTTAGTGCTAGAATCTCCCATTTTCCCAATGAGGCATCTATTGTCTCAGAAAAATCATCCCAACAACTCTCTGAGCAGCCATGTCAGAAATCATTTATTTTCAGAGATGAAGAACAGACATGCATGGAGAAGGCGAGTGACTTTCCAAGATCACTAGGTGATAAATGGCAGTCTGCACACCCTGTCCTGTTCTTGTTCTGTGGTAGCCATCCATGMAAATTCTCATGCACAAAAGGAATAGCTCTGCCCTGGAATTCCATTCATTTGCTGACTAGCAGATTCTTCATAAAGTTATTGACCTAAAGACTCGAACACTAGTCTTAATTTTAGAGTAACTAGGCTCATTTTCTGTCCTTTAAAAAGAGTGACATGTAAAATGACAGGGTTCCCCTAACAGTCTCTGAACTGGGGATGACTGAGGAGAGGCTGGCTTGACGTATCTATGGGTTGCAGAATTCAGCAGAACTAGAAAGYTTTTTGGAGAATCCTTTCAATTTTCCAGCCAAAGTGCCCTGCTATGCGTATGACCTTTATTTCCTAGACTTTTCCAAAGGATGGAAAATATTGTGATGTCCCAAAAGGACTGAGATCATCCAGTGGGGCTGTGATTTCAGGAGGTTCAGAAACTGTGGGCAGACATGACTACTGAGGAGGTGTCAGGTAGGCGAGCAAGTTGTGGAGTGCCTCGCAGGCCCAGGAAGAAGGCCCAGCCAGGCAAGCATCCAGAAGGAAGTTCTGGAAGCAGCAAATGAGATTCTTCACCCTCCTCTGTGATGAGGTTAGATCTCCAAAGCAGGACTTCAATTAATCAAAGGAAAAGTGGTTATGAAACAGAATACCTAAAAATCAGGMGAAAACTTAGAGAAGGAACTAGGAGAGAAAAGGAGAAGAGTCTAGTTATGGAACTGAGGTACCAGGAAAGAGCTCARTCAAAAAGGAATAAGTCAACTAGGCACAGTGGTACACACCTGTAATCCCAGAGGTTCCGGAAGCTGAGGCAGGAGGGTTGCAGGTTCAAAGCCAACCTATAAGCTGGCATCTGCAATTTAGTGAGACCTCAGCAACTTAAAGAGACCATGTCTCAAAAAAAAAAAATTTAAATGCTGGGGATGGGGCTTGGTAGGTAAAGCACCCCCTGAGTTCAATCCCCCAGGACCCCAGCCCCACCCCACCCCCACTGAAAAATAAGGAACAAGTCAAGAGCCCTGCTCATTGGACCAGAGAGAATGTAAGGCTAGTGCCACAAGGTGACTKATCTAGTAAAATGCTGACCCAGGGTCATATGCCTAAAGGCCCTCAGGTATGGGGCTCAGGCATGGCTGAACCCAATGTTGACAGGAGGCAGATTCAACTTAAGAAAGAAAAAAAAGAGTTTAGCTGACCCACATGAAACTGAGTCTTTCCATTTCTTAATTCCCTCCCTCTCCACATTCACCCTGGGCATACTCAGATGCAGGTATGGAAGAACACACGAGCATGTTATTTAAAAGGGCTGGTGACACTTGCGAGGACCAACTCAGATAGGAGAAGAATCTGCTCTTCATTGGGTCGTGTTGATTGCTCCTTCAGGTTTCTCGTGCCCTCACTTGAGAGATTCTCRTTCTAACATGTCCTAATGCCAGTTTCAGCCGCTGTCACAAAGGCAATCCCCTAGAGAGTGCAGGCTGGTGACGTAAATTAGTAAAGCAGCCCATGAGAGGCAACAGGTAGTGGTAGAGACTGTGGTAAACGTGAGAGCATGTCTCTAAGGGGACCATGACGACCAGCTCTGGCCAGCCGACCAGCCTACCTTCTACTAAGGAAAAAAAGAAAGAGAAGCCTAACCTGGGACTCCCTGGGCTAGCGTCAAGGTGTCAGTAGGGCCGTGTTCCTTCCTGGAGGTCCCAGGGTGGAACCTCTCCCTTGCTGATTCAGGTTGCTGGCAAGACCCAGTCCTTGCAGTAGCAGCCATGAGATCCCTTGCTGGCACCAGCTGAAGCCATTCTCAGCCTCTCAGAAGCCACCTGCATTTCTTAGCTCATGGCCTCCTTCCTCCCCCATCGTTAGGGTTGGYGATGGTGAAACAAGCTCCTCTCATGCTTTGGGTTTCTCTACCTGATCCCACCATCATGCCTCTCCAGTCCCCTCCTCTGCCTCCCAAATCMCCTTGTCAGAGCCCCCCTGGATAATCCAGGATAATCTCTGTTTTTAGGTTCTTTAACCTTGATTTCATATCCAAATTCCTTTTTCCATGTACGATAGCATCTTCACAGGTTCCAGGTATCAGGTGTGGCCACAACCAAGACTGTCTCCTACAGTCCTGAGAGTAACCTCCCTAGAAAAGAGTGTGGAAACTCAGAACCAGGCCTCCGAGGCCATCCCTGCCTCCTAGACCTTGGGTGCACCATTGTCTTCTTGCCATGTCTTTCTGATTATCCTTTCTCAGTCGCCCTGACTCTTCCCCTGCTTCTTCCATGAATATCAGCCTCCCACAGCTCTGCTCTCGGGCCTATCTTCTTGCAATGCACTGCATCGAAACCCCTACTCCCAGTTTCTCCTCTAAGCTTAGAATCCAAATTTCCAATCACATAATGGGACACTGCAAATTTAATATATCCCAAACTAGCCTTGGCTCCTTCACTCCCTTTCTCAACCCCAGACAGAAAACATAAGCATCTCCTTCAGCCATCCCTCAGCCTTGCCTCCTGCACTTCAGCTGGGGGAGCAGGAAGTCCTTGGGACTTGGTCTTGGAAGCATCTCTCCATCCAGTCCTCCCCTCTGCCTACTGGCACAGTCTAGGTCAGCCCCCATCCTGTGTCAGCAGCACTGGGACGTCACCTCGTAATCTTAGCCTCCTCACTCCTCTCTCTACACACATCTGACATACTCTGCTTCACCCCACACATCAAGACCAACTCTGATCTGTTCCATGTGGAAGACTATGTATCCTCCTTCTTTGCCTGAATGAACAGAGCTTCCATTCCTTATCAGAGAACACCAGGCCATAGATAATGTGACTCTAATACAAGCTTCCAGGTTTATATCTTCCTGTGTCTCTCCCCTCCCTTCCTTTCTTCCCCCCTCTCTCTCTCTCTCTCTCTCTCTCTCTCTCTCTCTCTCTCTCTCTCTCTCTCTCTCTCATTCATTCCACCTTCCAGCAATAAGAGTATCTAAAATGCCCTTCTATTATCCTGGAGACATTAGCCATCAGTCAGTATTCAGCAATATGAAAATTAATTCCAGTGGGAAAACCACATTGTAGAATTAAGCAAATAAAGGATCACATGAATAGTGAGAATAAGATTTCTTTCTAAAAAACATGATGCAGATCTTGAGCGTTAATTCTTCAGCCTGAGACTATCTACATAAGAAACATGATAAAGGAGAAAATAATAAAATATTGGTTTAATTTGGAGRGAACAAAGAGTAGAAAGTGTGATTTATGCTAATAATCCAGTTTTTTATTAACGGGGGATATATAGTGATCTAGATCTTTACACCCTTATAGACTTGGATCATATACTTTTGAGGGCAGAGACTGACCTATTTTTCTTTGTACCTCCAGTACTTAACACAGTACTTAACATGCATGTAATAGTTTCCCCCTCAAAATATATTGCATGCATAAGTAAATGAATTGCACTGGTTGCTGGG